ATCACAGTTATTACCTTATCACTTATTACTTGTATTACTTTTGAAATTTATTACTTATTACCAAGAAATAAGTAATAACGCTTTTGTTATTACTTATTACTAGTAATAGTAATGTAGCAGCCCTAATTGTAACATAGTATTATCATTTTTTTATCATAGAAGGTAATGAAAAGCTTCTGGATTTGAGAAGCACACTCATTAAACTATTTACACACATGTTTACGTCAAAATTGTCGTTCCTGGAAGAGAAGTAGAGTGTGACGAATACTATGACGGTGAAGTCTGCGCTCTATTCATATTCACTCTACAACCAGAAGTTCTCTCTTATAGCCAAAGGTTATCAAATACATGTGTACGTTGAGATCTAATAAAATTTTACAGTCTATCCATTTTGGCCGAAAGGACATTTCTGCCACTACTACCATAAAACTTTATTGTAACAGAAGAACGTCCTGCGAACATTGGACTTGTCAGAAAATAGAAAACGACAGTAAAGATTAGCGACATTCATCATGTAACGATTTTCGAAGGATGCAATGAAACCTTTTTTGAAAAGCGAGCATCCTCAACTAAAGCCTGTATATAACTGGAACCATCTTACCTGCGTGTACAATCTAGAGCACAAAAAACTTTCACTTTTTATTATTTCTGTTTATTTTAGTGTCGCATACTTGCTTTTTTACGCTTGATTTACCGCCATATTCAACAGAAGAAATAATGTACGAACGTTTAAATTATGCAATCACACATTGCTCAAGCATTGACGGTGATTATGGGTTGAATGAACCAACAATGCAGCCTGATTTAGATGAAGAAGAAGATATATCATCCACTAGAAACACAGGTGATTAAGTGCAATTATCCACAAATACAATTATGTCAGGTTCAATTTCCATTGAAGACAAAATGTTCACTTAATAATTTACATCGTTTTTTGTCGTTCTTTGTTGTTTTAGCTTGCTTATTTGATTTTATTTGTTTTTTTTCATATGAAGTAATTCAACTCGATTGAATTTAATGTTCGTGATTGCCAAACATCGCCAGTTGCTATCATTTGGTAGGACAAACATCCCTCAATCGAATAGCATATTATATGCTATTAACAGTTGAGTAGTTTTGAACAAAATAAAATTACTAATCCCTTGGTGAAAATCGTCGTTTGAGGAACCGGTAAAAGTTGAATCAGACTAGTCTTTAAAGAAAGTACTTTGAAAGTGAAAAATTTTAGATTTAAAGGTTTTTTGAATGGGGCTTTCCGATGAAGTAGGAAAGAGAAAAAATTACTTTTGTCGGCGGTCGGCGTGGTTGAAGTTTTCGCTTAGTAACCAATCATATGGTTCCATAGCGTCAGTTCTGTGGGGGAAATAAATATCTGACTCTCCACTCAGTTTTTCTGTTTGAGCTTAGAAAGTCCACTATACAACATAAATTCAAACCGACCGGCTGTTAGCAAGCCGCAACCTTTGAGAATACTGAAGCCAGGAAGCAGCACAATTTTAGTAAAAATATTAAAATCTTATTGGTGTATTAAAGATTTAGATGTGAACGGTCTCAAAGTTAAGTTAGCGTTAACTCTGAAAAATTTGTAGTGAGAACGTGGCCTTAGCAAAACTGCTCATCATTTGTTATAAAGATCGGTCATTTCCTTAAGTCTCTAGTTGAACCTATTAGAATATTTCAAAATAGACGATTTCGAACGTTCGGCTCATTTTTGAGCTTACGCATACAACAACCAAGCAACCTGTGAAAAAAAATTCATAATAAGAGGCACACTTATACAATGGATATAATTAATATTGAATAAAATAACATATTTGCCAAGTAAAAGAAGTTTACGTAAAAGTCTTTGTCGGGCAAATTTCTGTTGCTTTCTAGGCCGTGTTATAAACATCACAATTTTAACTTCCACATGGTTATCGTATCAAACTGTTCTTACTGCTTTCACGAAAAGTTCCATAACTTTTCAAGGAACTAGGTTCAGATAAAATAATTTTTGAGAATCTTTCTAAATATGTTGCCGCCATCGGTTATGAAATTTTGAATGAAAAATTCGGATATCGATTGAGTAACCTAGGCCGCCTTAACCGTTCGCTCTTATCGCGATCGCTATAAATTCGTGGTGAAGTGGAATTTCTTCTATACTTTCACTAGACTCGCGGGGTGACTCCCTAAGTCTCTATATGAGTCCCGCTTTCTACCCATTAAACTAGAGCGAATCTTCATTCTCGCTACAGAAATCCCTATGTCGCGACATGAGTCCTACATTTTATGGAAAAAAATCAGCGCGACAGAATGTTCTCGCTACATGACTCATATACTCCTAGAATCGCTACATGAGTCCTACTTTCGCCACATGAGCCTTCATTCCTGCCATTTTACAGTGTTGTTTCCTTGCCTGGAGTATCATCCAGCCCTGTGATAAAGCTGCCTCTAGTATATCAGCTTTTCTTCTTTGCTACATGTTCATTCAACATTATTTACGATAAATCACAGTAAAGTCACAAAACAGATAAGCATCGGAAAAAGAGTAATATCAGAGGTTTGCACTTCAGGGAGGAAGGATACTTTGTCAGCATACAGTTTAGCACTTAAGTGCACCATGTTTTACCGGCTTACTCTTCGGAACATGATGTACGTAACAAGTACACAGTTATTTCAGAACAGTATATCTGGTGGAAAGTGAAGAAGTCTTTTTCGCCTTTTCCATTGTTAAAAAGTTGAACAAAATGGTTTTTTTGAAGTATGGCTAAGTCAGAAGGTGTTTTGGAAAATCAAATTCGAAAGGGAATGCTTCAAGATTATCACCAACGGTTGATCTAACGGTATCCACCTATATTTTTTAATTCTGGTTTGCCATGAGACTGGAATTAGATCTCAAAATATACGTGAGATAGATTAATATCGTATTGCTCGTCTATGGGTTTTACCGTAAGGAAACGTTTGCTGTATGGATGAAACATCACGCTTGTACTTACAGACGCTGTGTATCCGAGAAATACTAACGCTATGAACAGTTCGTTGCTAGAGCCGAGAGCTAATCTAGCATCCTGTGAATGAGGTGCTCTTGAACTATGCCGCTATCCTCTGTGCGCCAAACAGGACTGAACTAATTTTCGCTACATCCTGTAAGTCACCAAGAACAAAGCGATATTACATCGAGGAAACTCATAGAGACAATAATCACTCATTTGGTACATTTCTCACTTTAGTGCATTTATTTTGAGATCTTTTAACACGGTCCACAAGCTAGTTGAACCTATATAGGCGAATCTCTTAGATTTTGTGCATTTTCTGACAAAGATAATCCAGTTTTTGACTTTCAAAACTGTTAGGGGAAAAACGGCTCAATTTTATAACAAATGTAGCAAAAACGAAAGGGCTTATTTTTTTCTGCTTCTACACATTGAAATTGCTGTGTACTCACCACAATTTTAGTTATATATTATCGAATATTTCAAACTTGTATATTAAAACAAAAGATCCAAAAAAAGCAGTGCATGGCTGCAATAGACTACACGATGAAGTGACACTGCGATAACAAAAAAGAAATGCCTATTAAAAGAAAACATACACGTTGTGTATACAATAGAATTCCAGCGTTTAAGTCTTCTTTTTCTTTTTCTGTATGCCACGTATCCATATCCGAATGTAACATTAATGTCGTATATGCGAGATAAAGATAAAGACAAATACGCTAGAGTTCTAATAGGTTAAAGATAAAAGAAGAGAATAATGTAACCATCAGGGGCCAGTTTCATCAAAAAACTTAAGTCTAACTTAAGTGAAAAAATGACTTAAGTAAAACTTAAGTCAAAAAAGATAAAAATCGCGTTTCATCAAAAAACTTAAGTACGATTTTTGACTTAAGTCAGACTTAATATTTTGCTTAACTTAGGAGACCGAATAGGTACCCTATGTATGACTTAAGTCAAAAAATTGATCTTACCTAACTGAGAAACGTTATTTCCTTGTAAAAGTCTTTAAAAAAGCAAAAAGAAGTTTAATAGTGCAACTGCTTTTTCAAACAAGTTAATTCAGCGTCAAATCTAGAATAAGTGTGTGGAAAACAGATGGTGCATTTTTTACTGGGCAGTGAAGATGCAATGCCTTGATTGCTTCATTTTTGTTATGATATCTGGTGAAACTCTTTCAACGCGAAAAAGTCAGTGTTTCAGCAACAATTGAAAGTAGCAGAAGCTATGAGTACACTTTCCTAAGCTGAAATTTATTTTTTACAGAGTGTATCCATGGAAAATTAAGGTGTATTCCTAAAATACATAATGCATATACACTTTACTCTCGCTTGGTGCGCTCGTTCTTGAAAATAGTGTACAAAACTTCGAACATTATGCTCAAATTGCTTAAACTTATAGAAGTATGAGTTTCTATGGATGAATCTGTGTGCCATGATTGAAAAAACTCCTCCAAAACGATTTTGTCTTTTGATTGGTTCAACTTGGCCATAATTCAACTTAAGTCAGATATTTGCTTAAGTGTTAAGTCATACTTAAGTTGTGCTTACTGAAACACACTTAGGACAAAACTTAACTTTGACTTAAGTGTCTCCTAACTTTTTCTTAGTTTTTCACTTAAGTCAAACTTAAGTTTTTTGATAAAACTGGTCCCAGCACAACACACATGCACGTGGTCTATTCTTTTCTTTTTCTCACTATATGTGTGTTATATAAGTCCAGAAAGATAATATAAGGTATACAGAACAATCAAGACCCGCACCGCGACGTTTTAAAACTAATCTACCTAGACCGCAACTCAGCGATAAAAATCGCGATTCGCGACGCGACTACGCAAATACTACTGTTTATATATCTGTGATTGTCTCGGCGCGACTCACCATATCGCGAATTGTGCTGCGATAATATAGAGATCGCGCTAAGAAATATTCACTTGGTTTTTTGAAAATTTATCAACTTTTCAAGTCCCACCGCGAGAGTGTGAATCTATAGCGATCGCGCCGCTACATAGAGACAGTATAGCGATCGCACCGCGAGGTTTTCCTTGACTTTGAGTGGCACTCAAAGAATGTGATCCCAAATCATAACGAAACGTCGTCTAGCGTCCGTTCACATATTATCTTTGGCAGTTTTCCCTGCACTTTCCAAATATATATTACGAAGCCATTCGCTTTCTGCTCAGGACAAAACACAAAGCAATTTACTTTTAGAATTAGCACCTGGGCCAAAAGATGTACTCACTGACTTACCTGGCGCTCGTTTAGCATTGAATGTTGGAAAAAGATTTTTTGTAAACAAATGGCTGACCACTCAAGCAATAAAAAACTGGTTTCAAAAAGATCGAATATCACTGACCACCCTCCGTATAATCAATTTACTAAAAAGTACCTCATTTTTCAACTGTACTTGAAATGTTTTTTTCGGTCTTTTTCACTCAGTTTTCATCCAAAAAATTGCGATTTTCGATAACGATGAACAAATCTGAGCTCACCTCATGTTTGTTTAACTCAAAAGAAACCACTTTCGAAGAACACAGTGCACCAAGTTTTGCCAAAAACAAGAACTTGTGAAGTTTTTTGCTTATGACTTCCAAAAACTAAGATTTTCTGATTCGAAAATCCCTTTTCCCAACTGTGGTCCTAAAGAGGGCTGTTGGATTTTCGTTGTTTTTTAAGCTTTGTTTTTTGCGTTATTTTTATCATCAAACTTTCTACAGGTGAGTGATTCTTTTGAAAGTGTGGGACCGAAGGAAAGGTCCCAACGATACACTTCTTCTATATAGTTTGCTTGTAAATGTGTCTCATAAGGAGTGAACTATCTGATAGAAACTCTACGTGCTTTTCAGATTAAACTATGACGCATCCTGCAGAAAGATTATTAACTTTCGCAGTAATAAATAATCATTTATAGATGCATGTGTCTGTACGTATGCAGAATGGACTTGGCATATGTCCTATCTGATTCGTTTCGCCGAGTTCTCTTAGTGTGACAATCTATGTTCCTCTTGACAATAATCGATCTATTTTTTTCACGCGATCCACATACTTCTATCTAACGCACCAAGTTTCTTTCTATTTGCAACTTGGCTTTGTCGACTTTTTTCCTTAAACTATACGGATTCAAATGTATGTTAACTGGTAGTATTTTTGCTCTGTCTTGTATTACCTAGTTAATCAAACGAAAATATCTACTGTATATACGTGTATTGTCTATTATCTATCAATTTTTTCATGTGAAAGAATGAGCAATAATTGAGTTTGTATAGATATTGAGTGAATAGCCAAAAAAAGTAAAGTTAATGTATTTTTATTATTATTCTACCTTCAACTAGCGCAACGATAAACAAGCAAATGTATGTTTTTCATACTTTCTTTCTTTTTCTATCACCTTTTCTATTCATGATAGTTTGCACATGGTGATAGCTGACCTGCCTCAACTCAACTTGTCATACTGTATTCGAAACGAGTTTAGAAAAGCGTATACTCTTAGATTACATTATGTTCAATTCAAAAATCTTTTTAACAGGAGCACCATCAGTAAGACATTGTACAAACATTTTCACTAGATAGCCAACTTCACAGGGTCTGATTCACGCTCAGGGATACTAAAAGCAAAAAAAGAACTTCAACATTAGAAAATCAGTAGACCTTTGAACAACAATTACGCGTATCTTCACCAAGATCAAACAGAATTTTCACTAATAGTACATCAACAATCTGTGAAGCAGATGCGAATAAAATCGTTCCCGCCATTGAAATTCTGAAAACAACCTTTAAGACACTTATGTTTATGAAGTATACTTACTACGTTGTGATGTACAGTAAACTATCGATAACTATCACAACTGAAATGAAAAGCTGGTGAAATAAGTTTTCAGTATTTTGGTCTCGGCTTATAATATATTTTATAAAACATTTAGGATTAATCCAGTTGTACTTTCTCTTCCAGATTCGTGTTTGCTCAATTTCAGCCACAGTTTTTAGTGTGTAATGGCCAAATATTACTTAGTTTTATTGTTGATTGTAACCGTAATTTTAATACCGATATCGACAATAATAAGTAGGTGGTTTCTTTGGCAATAGTGCATTGTACTTAAATGAATCAGTTTTTTAACATCGCTATAGATGCTAGATCGCAAAAACGATTCCATATCGACGTCAAAGTTCGATCTAATAATGCAAAATTATTGCCACTCGGATCTAAATTGTATGCACGTCTAGAAAGTTCAGATCGAAAACTTATGAAAAAAACAAAATTAAAGTTAAAAGAACTTCCTGTTCAGTTTCGAATAGAATATTCGACAAATGAAGTGTACGAAAGAGTTATATTAATAGCTGAAGTTAGAAATAAAAACAAGCAAGTGATATTGCTAAATGAAACAGAAATTATTTGGACCAGAAAACAATCATCAAAGTCGGTTAAAATTAATCTGTCAAAACCAAGTATGGACGAATCTTTTGTTTCCATTTTGTATTGAGATTAATACGCTTCATGAATCTTTAGCCACGATGCATAAAATATTTTATTCTTTTTCTCAAAAGCCCCAGACTCTGGAGAGAGCACACTTCAAGACCAACATCCATTAAGTGCCTTAATTATTGTTGATGTTCAAAATGATTTCATTCATGGTACATTGGCGATGAAAGATTGCCCAGCTAAACAAGATGGTGAAGCAGTCGTACCTATCATCAACCATTTGCTGAAAACTGTTCCATTTGATGTCGTTGCCTACACGCAAGACTGGCATCCAAAAGATCATATTTCATTTTATGAAAACTTGCACCTTCGACAACATTTAATTTCATCCAAAAGTAAAGTAAATGCTACAACAGCTAATCTCTACGATACTGTTAGATTTAAAACACCAATTGGAGAACAAGTTCTGTGGCCAACGCATTGTATTCAGAATACAAGCGGTGCTCAATTACATGAAGCATTGATCGTTGCCCATAATTCTGTATTCATATTGAAAGGCGATAATTCGAACATTGACAGCTACTCAGCCTTTTGGAGTAATCAAAGAAAAAGTAGAACCAATTTAGATAAAAAGTTGAAAGAACGAAATATTCGCAATGTTTACATTGCTGGATTGGCACTCGATTTCTGTGTTGCATCAACCGCTTCTCATTCGCTAGAACTAAACTATCGGACATTCATCATTGAGGATGCATGCAGAGGTGTCGATGAATCAGTAATGAAAATTAAAGTTGAGGAATTGAAGAAGGATGGATGCGAATTCGTTCAAGCAGATATGGTAGAATCGCTGGTCCGTGGTTTCATGCCTAATGATTAGACTAGTTTTGTGACAAAAAATTGCAAATCATTACGAATTCTTATTTATCTGTTCTAGAATTAGCTAAAGCAAAGAAAACGCCCCTTTGTTGAATTCTTTGACATTACTTTGTGATCAAAGATGTAATACTTTTACATCGTTTCTTAGCTCTTAAGAGTCACAAGTGTTCTCCTTTTTATGTAAACATGGTTGATTGTAGATATGTTTTTATACTGATCTCAAATCTGATATCGGTTTAGGTTCTTAAATCGTTTTGGATAGTATGAAGAAACAGGTCCGCCACTTTATGGAACTAATCGAGTCCATAAAGCACATTATTTCTTCATGGAAAAAAACTCAAATTACTGAGAGGACCTCAAAAATACAAAAAACCGTCCTCTGTGATGGAATTGACTCTTTGAGCTTGTATTGCTAGATGGAAGGTTTGAGATATATGTTTCTAAATCAGTTTTCAATGCTGATTTAGAAAAATATAGCTCGTTCAGCTTAAAGTTTTGCTTAAAAATTTTGTTTAAAAAGTTATCTCATTCTTTTCTCCTGATAAAATACAATGTTTGATTTGAGGTAGTAAATGACGATTGATTTTAAGCGAATACCATGTTTCGCTCATACTCTACAACTTGTTGTTAACGATGGCATCAAAAATTCAGCTGCAGTCAAATCGTCATTAACAAAAATAGCCAAAACTGCTAAATTTTCACATATCAGTACAGTTTTTGCTGAACGTTTTGAGATATTAAAAGCTACAATACTATCAAATACAAACATTCGATGCAATAGTCAATTTCATACAATAACAAAAGTTTTTCAAATCGATATCGATAAATTGAATATTATTTTATATGAATTAAATAAATCTCAGTTAATGTTAACACAACGAGATAAACTAATACGCGATGAATTTATTTCGTTATTCTATTTATTCAATGAAGCAATCATACAAATACAAGCTGAAAGTTCTCCAACGATAAGTCTTGTTGGTCCTTGTCTATTAAGTATATTAAATGATTTCGAACATGAACAAGGAAAACTAATCTATACAAAATCGTTATGTAAAGCATTAATTGACACTTTAAAAACACGCTTTTTTTGAATTCTATGAAATGTTATCATTTGATATGAGCGAATATGTAAACAAGAAAGCAACGACTGCTGATCATTATAAAGATATAATGATAAAGATATAATGATCAGATCAGAAGATATAATGAAATCCATATTCTTGATCAGTCCAATTCTTGATGGACGGTTTAAAATGCATCGGCTAGAAGAATCAAATATAGAGGACACCGAAAAGAGCGTGTAATAAGAAAAATAAAAAATTTAGTTTGCGATACATGTATTGAATTAAATGT